TTGTTTCCCAAAAAAAAATATATATATCGTTACGCTCACCTCAATGATCTCCATCGATCCCAACATGAATTTTTTTAATTTGAGGATTGTAGGTATTCTACATTTATGCCAAAATTTCTTTTCTAGAACAACCTTCTTTTCAATTAAATATACTATAAAGCTAAAAAAGTTAGAAGGACGAAATTCTAAATTTTTGTCGAGATTATATTAGTCTTTAGCATACTTTTTTCAAAAATATATATTGCAAAATTTCAAAGATATTCAAGGATAAGATCGTTTAAGCCGCCGCTTAAACGTACTTTAGCGGCCGTGCGCGCATCCTTTGGCCGTAGCTGTGTGGAGTCGAAGCGACCCCGAAAATTATTCCCGGGCGCGCACAGCCGCCTACCATCATCGTGCCAAGTGAATTGGAGTTTCAGTTCATCAATTAACGCCAGTTAACGCGCACGCGTTCTAGTATTTAAAGTCATTGCAAGCTTATCTTCCAATAAATTTTATACATGTATATGCAAACATATACACATTGGAAATTTTAACCTTAAACAAACTAAAACTTTGTTTCTCAAACTCAAATCTTTCCCTTAAGCGGAAATTTTACTGTTTATTGGGGTGAGTGCAAGGGGACCAAGCGTAAAATTATTCATGGTCCTTCGAGCCGGATACTAAAGTAGTTAATTTCTGGCACCCCAAATGATGCTCAATAATCTTGCTTGATGCATCACAACTCTTCCGGAGTTGCTTCACGGGGCTCTGTATGACTTTCAGCATACAGAGGTGGTACAAGAGCTGGCATTGGCCACAGCGCCTACCCAATTTTCTAACTTGAATACATAACCGATGCTCAACTTGCTTGACGCATCCACCCACAATGCTCAACAAACTCACTTGATGCATTACAACTTTTCCGGAGTTGTCTCACGGGGCTCTGTATGGCTTTCGGCATACAGAGGTGGTACAAGAGCTACCATTGGCCACAGCACCTACCCAATTTTCTAATTTGAATACATAACCGGTGCTCAACACTCCCGCTTGACGCGCACCCCCAAAATCTCTTACAGAGTTTAAGCGGCAAAGCCACAGCGCTACAAGCCGTAGGGACTCTGCATGACTTACAACCATGCAGAGGTGGTAACTGATGGTTATCATTGGCCCCGATGCCTACCCAAAACATTTTGCTATAATAAATTTTTATGCAAATACATTCATCCTGGCCATGCCCTCTCACTGAGTTAAGCAAAGATTTTGAAAGGATATTTTCAATACCTACTCGTACTTATGCACCAAAAAACTGAATCTGTTCTTCTAAAGAATTTTTCATTTAATTTTATCCCCAAACTGTTTTTCTATATTGCACTGCATTTTTCAAATAATTTTTTATTACTTACCACGTTTTTATCATTTCGAATTCTTGTTTTTCCAGACATAGAATATACAAAACTGGTCTAGACGTCTACCTCGCCGAAAGTAGAAACATATTTAAAAACCGCATTATTATTATTGAGCCTAAAAATATGCACTATACTGCAGCGGGACCGCGAGACACGCCATTTCTTTAACTGAAATTAATTTCTGCTCATATGTATGTGCCAGTGGCCTGTACGATTACGTTAGTATCGTACGAGTACGTTCTCTGCAGAAAATCTGACAAGCGCAGAACTAGCGTAGAAAGCGACATTTTGCCGACAGTACTAGTTCTAGCTC